GTTATCAGTGGTTATCATTAAATAAATTAATTGTTGTTTCATAAAATAGAAACTATTTTCAAGAGCATAATAAATGGAAAGAAACCAAAACAATAGTTGCCTATGGGGTTGACAGGGAGGAGACATGAGGGAACTTTCTAGATGATAGTAATGCTTCGTATCTCGATTGGAGTTTGCGTTACACAGGTATAACTCTTTATCAAAACTTACAGAGTGGTCCACTAAAAATCTGTGCTGAACACTGTAGACAAATCTTATTTCAAAAGAGAAAACATTAACTAATATTTAACTCTACTTTCATGCATGCAGAAAGATGAAATAGCTTACAGGTCACACAGCGAATAAGCAGTAGGAGTGAGATTTGAAACCTGGGCTGCACATCTCTAAAAATATGTGCTTAACCACAACCACAAATACCTCTCTGTTTTCTCTTATTTAGGGACATACTCATGTGGGACTCCTTTGCCGCTATCTGCAGACATCTCATAAACACAATGCTTTTTTTTTTTTTTGTCTCTGGGCAACAACCACACTCAACTTCTCAAATTTGAGAATTACTTTTTGTGGCTTAGTGCCGAACAGCTGAAATGGAGGGACAGCCTGAACCTCATATTCGTTTGGTGCATTCCCAGTGAGCTTTGTGCAGTTTTACACCGAGCTGATGAGAGTAAGAATGGGTATTTATCCTTACGTACTTGAGAATTCATCATTTATGGGAAGCATTTCCATCCCAGAAATATCAGTGATGCTGATACACTTCATATTAAATCATTATCCACCTTCCCTACACATTTGAAAACACTGTGGGTGAGGCAACAAACACAAAGAGAAACACTCAAAACTGAGTTAAAAGGGAAAGACTCTGAGTTTGATTCTAACTAAACAAATCTACTTTCTCTGCTGATTTCCTCCTCTGTAACATGAAAATGATAATCAGACTCATGCACACGATTGTCAAGGATCAAATGAGATTGGGCCAATTTGTTTGTACACACACATATACGCTGTCTTCTCACCTATACTGTTTTTTAAAAAGTTAACCTGCACATTGGGCTTCTAGAGCTATTCAGGTAAAAGTCTTACCTTTTGTAATCAGTCTTAATTAGCTCATAAAAGATAAACATCCTGATACAGGGGCTGCAACCATAATTTCCCATTCTTGCCTTATATATTGATAACTTTCTTTAATCTTCTCATACTCTCTTTTGCTGCCTTTGCTCTCTAAAGATCAGCCTTAAGACGCCAAACAGTGGGGAAAATAATGTCCAGGGAAGACCCCAGAGTTATAATTTTAGAATGTCAAAGGTGTTTTGTTAAATTATCATTACTAAATCAGCCAAAAAGTGTGTTTAGAGTTGGATGACATAATGTTTAAGAGTCAGGTTTCTGGAGTGGGACTACAGATTCAAATCATGGCCCCAACCTTTATTAGCTATACATTTTCCTCAAGTTTCTGATTGCATCTATAAAACGAACATAATAATAGCAACTACCTCTTATTATGTTATATTTTAAATTACTTAATTTGTGTAAAGCATTTAGCACAGTGAGCAATACACAAAACACACGTGTTGGCTACAAGTATAAAGCAGACTCAGATTCAGAAACACAAAATCACAAGAATACGGAGGTGTACAGAAGTGCTCAGTGGTAGACATTAACTACCTCTCACAGAAGTCTGTCAATTATCTCTGCTTCTCCCCCTCCCCCACCTCCCATTTCCCTTCACTATTCCCTTCCAAAATGAGGTGGGCATAGTTGGCCCACCTAGGGCAGTAATCTGACCTCTAACACGGTGGTTTGTAGAGACAGGCAAGTAGAAAGCAGGATGAATGACCAATAGTATCTTCAGCATTTATATTTTGCTAAGGATACTAAGTTGAAGAAAAAAGGAAAGTAAAATGTTCGGGAAAAAGTTTGGCCATACATATTCAACAAAAGCTTTCTTTCTCATTGCTTTCACAAATTTCAATGATAACATTTCCTGGAATTCAACAGGAGGAAATAATCCAAAAATAAGGCAAAACATGTAAGAAGAGGTTCATTGTAGTATCATTCTTTAAATGGCTTTATGGAGGCATAATTCATCCTTACAAAGTGTAAAAAAATTCAGTGGGTCTTTAAAGCATATTCAGAGTTGTGCAAGCATCACTACTAATTTTTTAAGATTTATTTATTTTAGGGGGGAGGGCAGAAAGAGGAAGAAGGTGAATCCCAAGCAGGCTACACAGAGAGCCCAACGAGAGGCTTCATCCCATGACCCCAAGATCATTACCTGAGCTGAAATAAAAAATCAGATGCTTCACTGATTGAACTACTCAGGTGCCCTCCATCACTACTAATTTTTAAACATTTTCCTTACCCCCAAAAGAAATCCATTAGCAGTTAATCCCCATTCTTCCCCCTCTCCAGTGCCTGGCAAGCACTAATCTACTTTCTGTCTCTTGAAACATTTGATGACCAAAAAAAAGAATAAAAAAAACTCAATGCAACTAAGTAACATAACATAAAGGTATGTTAAATTATGGTACATCCATTCAATAAAATACTATGTGGCTGTTAAAAATGACCACAACAAAGACTATATCAAAAGGTGAACTACATGTGATACAATATTTAATTTAAAAAAATACAAAATGGTGAGTACTCTGATTTCAGCCAAAGATCATTTCAACCAGTGTGTGGACAGACGAGAAGAAATGTGTAGAAATTTTAAACAGCCATGATAGAATAAGGAGATTGTGGATGATATTTTTTCTCTATAACCTTTAAATATTTTGCAAGATTTTATATTTAACAAGTGGAATTTTTAGGGTTGCCTGGGTGGCTCAGTGGGTTAAGCAGTCAACTCTTGATTTCAGCTCAGCTCATGATCTCAGGGTCTTGGGATTAAGCCCCCACCCTACACCCCCATATCTGGGCTCCATGTTCAGCACGGAGTCTGCTTAAGGATTCTCTCTCCCTCTGCCCCTCCTCTCTTTCTCTCAAATAAAAAGTAACAGTATAAAAAAATGGAATTTTTAGAAAATCTATTTAAAATTATCATGATAGAGAATATATTGAAGGCACAGTCCAGCCTTCCTGACTTGGAACTGGTTCTTAACTAGTAAGTCTCTCTAGTGTAGGCTCCCGACAACCAAGAGCCTTATGCTACAAAGATCTCATTCTCCCAACTGCAAATCCTTTCACACTGTAGATGTTCAGCCCCCCCTTGACTCCCTTGCTTCTCAGTCTACATGCCCCCCATCTCGCTATCCAGAATGCACTTCTTAACAAAGCCCTCTTACTTGTCATACATACCAATGACTCTTGGCCAATTTCCTTCTATTACTATATTAACTGTAGATGTAAATCCTTCTCTTTTTTTAAGATTTTATTTTAAAATAATCTCTACATCCACTATGGGGCTCAAACTCATGGCCCTGAGATCAAGAGTTGCTTGCTTTACCAACTAAACCAGCCAGGCTCCCCAGATGCAAATCCTTCTGATCCCAGGCATACTTTCCTTATATGAGATGAACAGTAAGGAAATTCATGTAAACAAAACAACAACCAGCTCTCCCCGTACTCTCCGTTCCCACTTCCTATAGGGATACAGCTCATTTGGACTACCACAGCCTTCCTCTTACATCTCTTCCCTATCCTTTATCTGGTCAAAGAATCATCATTGACATTCCACCACTACACACACCTGCATTCCATTCCAGGCACCCTCATCCTTCTTTCCCTCCCTCCCTTCCTCTCTCCCTTCCTCTCCCACTCTGTAGGTCTCTGTTTCTCTCTCAGACACACACTCACACACTCCACACATCCTCTGATGCATCAGCCTTGGCTATGCCCCACAACTGTCCTTGGGATTAGATTTGTGCCCCGTTATCTCCTACTCCCCTTGGTTTGTACAATGGTAATACTATGAAGCCCTGGAACCCAGTCTTGTGTCCTTCTCTGACTCTCAAGAATAAAGTATGCCCATCCTCTACACCTTCCAGTACCTGCATCACCTAGACTTATTACCATGATTCCCCTTAAAAGAGTGGTCATGGGGGTGCCTGAGTGGCTCAGTTGGTTGAGTGTCTGCCTTTGGTCCCAGAGTTCTGGGATTCCAGGATTCTGGGATCAAGCCCCATATGGGGCTCCCTGCTCAATGGAAAGCCTGCTTCTCCCTCTGCCCCTGCCCCCTGCTCATGCTCTCTCTTTCTCTCAAATAAATAAATAAAACTTTTTTTTTTTTTAAGAGTGGGTCCTGGATCTCCAGGGGGTGGTGAGGCCAGGCAAGATGGCAGCCTTCAAATGAGAGCATTCTACTGTTCAATGAGCACCTACCAAGTCAGTTGCAGGGATTCAGAATTTATTGAAACAATTACATACTTTGAAAAGCTCACAGTGGAAAACAGAAAAGTTACTATATAAACAGCTAAAGGTTTGAACGGGAGTAGGAAGGAATGCTGTGGATACACTGTGGAGACAGCCTCCACAGTAGGCATCACTATGGACGTGGCTTTTGAAGAATCAAGAGTTAACTGGGCCAAGAAGCAAATACAAAAACGTCTTACAGGTCTGCAGAAAACAAGTTCAAAGAAAAGGTACTTTGGCAGCTGAAGCACGACAGGCCATTCCATGTCCACAGGAAATCATGCAAAGCACTATGTGATCTAGAGATTAAATAAACCGTGGCCTCTGCTCTAGGCATAAAATATATTAACTAAATACAACACAAACTACTCACAATGCAGTGTGCATTGAGAAGAGGAAACTGAACAGAACTCTGGTCCGAAGTACAAAGATCATTGGGATGAGGGCGGGGACGCAGGAGCACTCTCATTAAAAAGAGGGTGGACAGTGTAAAAAAAAAAAAAAATCAAGGTTCGGCAATAACAAGTCAGTTGTAAACAGAAAGGAGAGGAGGAAGCCTGCGCAGGAACTGAGGGATTAGAACAGAAAAGTGGGTGGAGCCACTGGGCTCCACCCCCGCCCTCCCGCTCCCCTACAACCTACTTTCTGTGGAGTCGGTCTGGACAGGTGAGGGAGGAATTCCTAACACCGGTGAGAAGGGTAGGAAGGCCATGGGATTGGGGTTAGGGTTAAAGCGGGGGATCTGGCCCCTACCTAGAGTCTGTGGCTTCTTGCTATGCAGAGTTCAGGGAATTCCTAATGGGCTGGTTTTGGGGTACAACTGCCTAGGCATTGCTGCTGTCTTGCAGAGGGAAAAGAAGGCTTCTCCCCACCAGGTTCCTACCCCTTGCGGTAACTACAGGCAGGAAACTTGAAATCTGAGCTTCCTGAGTTAAGGCCCATAGAGGATGGGATACCCTGGCAAATATGGAGACATCAGGGGTTATCTGGGCCTCTGTCCATTGCCCTAGGCCTTTGTAAGATTCTCATAGTTGTGTCCCTTTGTTGTATCCGTGTGTACTTTCTCCCCCTCAACCAGAGCATGGGCTGAGTGGAAGAAATGGGAAGATGGGGTCAGACAGGGTAAGTGGTATTTCTCCCCAAATTCCCTCTCCAACAGGGTCTAACTGGGAAGATGGGGGTGGGTAGGGTGGAGGTCCAATGCAGAGCAATTACAGAGAAAAGGCAGCGCCTGCCTCATCACCTGGATTCCACAGATGCTGTTGAGCACTGAGGCCCCAGGCAGGGCACTGAGTCTTGGGTGGTGTAGAAAGATAGAGCTGGAAGGGACATTGCAGAGAAGGAAGAAGTTAGAAAGGGAGGGCCATGAAAGCTGCTGGGGTTATTTCCTGGCTACTCCACACATGCTGATATCCTGGGACAGCAGTGTGATCCTAGAGAGAATTAGAAAACTGAAGGGAACCTTGAAGGTCATATATTTGGGCCATTTGATTTGAGATTAAAGAACCTAAAACCTGAAGGTGTCTAATATGGTTACTTTGGAATCTGATGCGGCGGACTCCCGTCAACTGCCAACTGCTGGTTTAGACATACTGTCTTTTTGCAGGAGCCTGGGGAGGGACGATGGTGCCAAGCCAGTCGTCGGGGAGACTGGAGAAGCCGCTTCTCTTCCTGTGCTGTGCCTCCTTCCTCCTGGGGCTGGCTTTGCTGGGCAAAGACATCGCCCCCGTTGCTTACTTCTTTCTCGCCTTGGGTGGCTTCTTTTTGTTTGTCTGCCTCCTGGCCTGTTCTCTGGAATGGGGATTCCGATCAATGCAGACGGAGAACCCAGGGGCCTCGGGCAGTGCACGGTGAGTTAAGGGGTGGGCGGAATTCTAGGAATACATGATGGACTCTTTTCCCCTGTATCCCTCTAATCTCTCAGACATACCGCTCTGCTTTCCTGTTACTTTTATCTATGAGGGGGTGGGTGGGGTCAGGGGTAGGAGGGTCTTTTGCCAATAGAAGATAGTAAAGGGGAAAAGGACTCCTTTCAGGAGGTCACCAGTGACGTTTCTTCTCCCTCAGAGACAATGAAGCCTTTGAGGTGCCAACCTACGAAGAACCTGTGGTGCTGGAATCACAATGCCGCCCCCAGCAGCTGGATCAACCACCCCCCTACAGCAGTGTTGTAATCCCTCCAGGACTTGAGGAAGGACAGCCTAGCCATCCAGACGGCCCCAATAGAGCCAGACAAGGAAGGCGAGTTGGCTCAGAGGGGTCTGTGACTGGAAGAGTTCCAGTCAGCCTCCGGCTTCGGGGAACCCGGGTCATGTCCACTGCTCCTGATCTGCAGAGCTTGGGGTTGCACCCCACGTTGGAGCCTCTTACTCCACCCCCCGCCTATGATGTCAGCTTTGATCAACCGGATGATGATGTTTTCTTTGAAAACAACTGGACACCCCCCTAAAAGACTTTCCCATGGTATATTATCATCTCTGCACCAGACCCATTCATGCATTTGAACCAACATTTTTCCAGTTCCTGCTATATGTCAGGAACTGTGTTTCTGCGTGGAGAAATGAACACAGAGGGGAGTCAGGCTATCATAAGCCTTTTCCAGCGGGGATGTGTGTGGCACCATTTGAGTATTCAGGTAACGTTCAGTGACCTACCCCATATCCGGTATTTCCAGAGTTAAATGGAGGGTGAGAGAAGGAGTATCCAGAGAATCTGGATAAGGAAGAAAAGAAACATTTGAGTGACAACTTTGTTGTTTCTGTTCTGGGTGCTTCTCTACCAGCTCAGTTAGGCTTTCCAGCCATATGAGATGTTAATACCCTTATTTGAAAAATGAGGGTTCCAAGGGACAGTTAAGTTTAAGAACTTGGACAGGGCACACTGCTAGTAAACAGCATAAAAATTATTTAAACTCTACTCTTCTGATCCCAAATCCTATTGTATTTTCAAATACAAGGTCACCCACAAATCTCTCAATCTTTACCTTGGACAATTGCTGGAGAGGGGTGGGAGACTTCCTATAGACAGAATGGTGGAATAGTCGTGTCTACAGGCAGTGCGGGCTGAGTGTGACCAAGTGTGCCCAGCCTCCTGGATAAGCAAAACTAATCAAAGCTGAGACAGCCCCGGCTCCAGTTAGGGAGCAGTTTCTGCCCAGGGGCTGAAGAGCACTCTCTAGTGCTTGCTGACGGGAAGCCGTGGAGTAAATTGCCCCAGGGGGAGGGGCTTCCGATTTTGAGATGGGTGGATGAGGCTGAGAAAGGAGAAAACAGGAGCCTGGCGAGGGGTGGCGGAGGATCTAAGGTTCCCTCTTGAATCACCAGTGAAGCGCTGGAGCCACCCGCACGGTGTCTAACCGTTAAGCCTCATCCCTGCATTCTGACCACAGGGTTTTAGCCCAGCCCTCCCTCCGGCTTCCTCGGATCCCAACAGAACACCAGATTCTCTGGAATCGTGCTGTGGCTGTGATGTGTGCTCCCCTCTTCGTCAGTCACCCACTGTGCGGCATCTAACAACGCCTTCTAGTCTCTCCATCTCCACCTTATCCTGGCCCTAATAGTTCAACTTCAATAAAATCAAAAGTCTGGCCAAACCCATCTCAGTAAAGTGCTTCCAGTAGGCGGGTGAGGCAAGGTGGGAGGCGCCGGAGAGCCAGCCGTGATTTCCGCGGGAACCAACGACTAATCGCATTCCCGCGTAGGACCGAGCGTCTCCGCGTTACCCCCGCCCCTTCCCTTTCCGCCAAGTGCGCTCTCTCATCCCGTTGGACGGCACGTCCAGCGCGAGAGCTCCGTACCTGCGCGCGCACCGGCGACGGGAGGGGCGGGGCAGGCCTCGCTTAGGGGTGGAGCTAGGAGAAGCAAGGCGCAGGCGCTGTGTGCGCTGCCGGACAGGAGAGGGATGCAGAGGGCTCCCGGGCTTTTGGTTTGTTTGGATTGTGGGCGGTTCGCGCACAGCCCGGGAAAAGCGGTAAATGGCGGCGCCGAGCACGGGCTCTCGGCCTGCCCTACAGCGAAAGGCGCTTATGGCCGCTGACAGAGGGCGCCGGTGAGTGAGGGAGGGTCGCAGAGTTCTTTCATGGGGCCGAGGGAGGGGAGTGCGGGTCATGGCCCCGGCGTCCCCAGCCCTTGGCATCCCTGGAAGCGGCCGTGTCCGCCCTTGCTGCCAAGGGTGGGAGGCCGGGTTGAGCCCCGAGGGGCGCGCGAGCGGCGGCCTCCCGTCGGCCTTGTCCCTCGTGAGCCGACCGCCCCAGCCTGCTTTGTCCAACCCACGGGGGCTCTGAACAGGAGGAGCTCTCCAGTTCTGCCAAATCTCGGCTTCTCTTAAAGATTCTCCATCCTTTCTTTCCCCTTATTCTTTTATGACAAACTTTACTCTGTCCCCTTAAAAACGGACGAGACCTGCAAACCTCGGGATACTGCCCGATGTGCATTTGACTTGGATTGAGTATATCATGACACGTTTTGCTTTGGGTGTAACGATCAGGTTTTCAAAGCAGTCGACACAGGCTTTGGGGTTTGAGTACTTTGAAAGGACAAGGTGGTTCCGAGACTCGAGTGTGTCTGCGCCTCTGCCCCAGTTGTTTGATTTCATGGCAGGCATCACCCCGGATAACATTTTAATGACTCGCGGTCCAGACCCAGAGGATCAGTTCAGGACTTTGGAGCCAGAACCTGCAGAAAGACAGAATCAAGACTTAAGAATTCCCTTTGTGTCCTTTTCTCTCCTCTCCTTCCTCCCCTTCCAGTTGTGCCCTGAAGTTCTGGGTGCTCATGGGTACTTTGGGAAAAGTCCATATTTGAAAGACTTTCACCCTAAAGTGGAGTGCAGGGAGGAGCAGGTGTGTGGAGAATGGATAATGGCTTCAGATTAAACTTAATGAGTTTCTGATTGAAAATTTAAGTCCAGAAATTGAAAGAGTCAAGAACTGGGAGCCAGTCAGTGAATCCTGTGTACGGATGAGAGTGAATAGGGAGAGACTCTTTGAGGAGGGTTCCTAATGGAATGTCAGCATTTAAGGGGCAGTTAAAGATCTTGTGAAGGATCAGCAACATAGGAGGCTAAGAGAGGAACTGGAGAGAATAGTATTCAGGAAACCAAGGGCAGAGAAAGTTTTAAGGAAAAAACGCTACTGGTAAATTAAGAGAAGAAACTTGAGTAGACCTTCCTCACCAATGATCCGTATCCTGAGGAAATAACCAGCATCCAGTTGTTGGCCTAATAACATTTTTACCAGAGTTTCATATATCCTGTCATTGTTACTGCTTTGGTGTTTTCTAAGGTGATTCTTAATTTTTTTTTTTTTTTCTCTAGATGTATCGTAGCAGGTTTCTATTGAAGGTTTGGGGTCACAGGAGTATTTCTATAGAATAGAAACCTGAAGTTAAAATGGAGTTTCAGACATCATTGTCCCAAATCCCAGATTTAACCCTAGTTAGCTGCTTCCAGCCTTGGGAATGTTTTATAACTTCTCTGACTCAGGATCCCACATGCCACCTTGTTGGATCTCTCTTAGCAGTTTCAGGACTCCGCCTTTTCCCTCCTCAATAAATCTCTAACCTGGAGTCAAGCCAAGTACATCCTATAAATGCATGGTGTCTAAGTAATTTCTAAGATGCCCATTTCCCCCCACACATACATATTTTAACATCTTTGAAATCCATATGCATTTTTAAATAGATTTTAACTTACGAACTGTAGATGTTATCCCTTTCTCACTGCCATCAGGCCCTTACTGTTGTCATGTTTTTGGAAACTAACTAGGCAAGCTGGGGAGCTGTGCATTTATATAAACTAGGCACAGAGATGATAATGTGTTGGAAATGGAATTTTAAAATTCATAAACAGAAGCTGATTATCCTTCCAAACCAATAAGAAAACCAAAGAATCCTTGAAATAAAGACACCCCTAATAAATTACCAAAACAATTTATCCTTTATGCTTTAACTCTTTCAGATGATCTCAAGTTATGTTCATTGTGTTTGCCATGGGTGTTTATCTCCTGTGACTTTCTGTCATACTTGCTCCTTAGTTCTTAATTACAGGATTCTGATCATTTCTAGTGTCATTCTGTCACAGCAACTTAAGTTTAAAGACCACAGGTACAATTGGTAGAAGTGGGCTACAGAGTAATGTGTGTCAGCCTGTCTCATTTATTTCCTATTAAAGCCAGCCATTGGCTTGAGCTTTTGCCATTTTATCAAATTATTTTATTCCTCACCCAGGATCATCTTAACTCATATTATTTTTAGCAGCCTAGATAAATAATGTGACAGGTTTTCTGGGATAATCTCTCTCTCTTTTTTTTTTCAATCTTTCATACAATTTTATTTTCTCCCTTCACTATTATAATATGATACCCAAATTTTGTCTTAACCGGAGGGTCTGTAAACACAGGCTTAACCAGCCCTCTTACAGGCAGGGCAAATGCTGCTTCTTAAAATGGTCCCACTGTGGAACCTCTGGTCATCCAGCCCAGGTCGCACCCTTGCCTGGCTTTATCTTCACTATAATGTGTGGCCACTCCATTGAAAGTCATTCCAGACTTTAACTTTTCCATGGCCTCCATGATTTTCTCATGTTCTTCACACAGAATGTGTCTGACCTTTGCTACATTGCCACCACCTTTGGGACCCTGAGCCTTCTTGTCAGAACTGTCGCTCCCAGAGGCTGCTCCCCCTTACCCTCTTTTCGCCCCTTTCTCGGAACCACTTTTTCCCTTGTGGCAGAACCTTCAACGGCCTGGAATAATCTCTTAGTTAAAATTGGTCTGTCAGACAGAGTAGTCCTTCTTTTGTGTGTATTTTTGTCAAGGTAGATATTTCCCTCCCCTAGACAGACTGTTCACCTCAGAAGATGGTCTCAGTGGAACATACTCCATAAAAAATTATAAATTATTTCTTCATGATTAGTGTGTTACTGCTTAATACTACTTTGATTTTAACCAGATTCAATAAAATATGCCTAATATTGGTTATCATAAGTCCCATTCTTTTTGTTCTTCCTACCCACTCCTTTTCCATTCCACTCTTCGGTGTCAGATCTTGTATTTGATGGCCTTTCCCTCTGCCTTTTATCTGCAGGATATTGGGAGTGTGTGGCATGCATCCTGACCATCAGGAAGCACTGAAAAAGAACCGAGTGGTGCTAGCCAAACAGCTGTTGCTGAGTGAACTGTTAGAACACCTCCTGGAGAGGGACATCATCACCTTGGAAATGAGGGAGCACATTCAGGTATTGGGAAGCAAAAGAGAAACACCAAATCAGTAAACTCATTGTAGTAGGGGGAACAGAACACTATGAAGTGTGGCAAGGATATAGAACCTTACTAAGGAAATGAAAATGCCCTTCTACCCTAACGCCTTTTCAGAAAAGATACATAATTTAAAAATAATAGGAAAGACTGCCCCCATACATATATTTCTTCTGTAAAAGGGTTCTTGAGATTAC